TTCGACTAAGCCTTCACAATACATGAAAATTGGAGGATATCCCAATCCTTCTCACCTCCAAACGATCGATCCGATGACCACCAACTCTTTCTAACTAGCGCTCCATTACTAGCCAATCCCAATTGATCACACACTTCTAAGAACCAGATGAACACTTCCTGAATGCCAGTGAAACCGACAATCACCAATGCTTGAATGATTCCACACTCAAATCTTGAGGACCAACAGACAGATGCTCCAACTAATACCTCAGTAACGAGCCACTTCCTTTGGCGCCTTCATCCGCCAATCGATAACGGTTACTAAAACCACTGATTCCTGACAATGTTGAAAAACCATCATGTGGAACCCTGTCCGCAGACCTCCCACATAATACCCCTTTTCCAAAGGTGCTCCAAACAAGTCTCCCGCCTCGGGCTCTATAAATCATTTCATTCAGGGTTCGCACCCTGACTCACTCACCCGCTCAAACGTCCATGGCTGAACTGCAGGAGCTGAAACAACCTCTGTCCTAAACCGGGCTACAAACTACTCCCAAGACATAGTCTACGATCCCAAAAGTGAAATAGGCCGCGCAATCAATCCCTTCCGCCTGATACAAGAGATCCAAGGAAAACCGAACCTCACAAAATACTCATGCCACATCGACCCACCTGCGCTTACCGGCGCTGAAATAATGTCGCCAATCCCTGCAACCAACTGACCCCGAGCTAGAATACAACCTGATCCTCGGATCACAATCCTACTCACTCCTTCGAGCTCGAAAACTGAAAGGGAACAACCCATGCCCTAGAAAACGACGTTCCAATCTCATTCTACTTCCAACAGCAAAAATCAAGCTGATCATAATCATCACTCCCTTCCTGAGCCCCACGACCAGCATTCCCGGCTTTGACCAAAACCCTTGAGGCCTTAAACCAAAACTCACTAGGTCTGAATCAACAACTCGAATCCACAACGCCACTGGGCTCATAACCGATACCAAGCCCATCCCCATGACTGAGAAGCCACAACCAAAAGATTGACAGGAACAGAACCACTACCGCGAACCATGGTATCGAACCGTGCTACCTTCCCTGAACAACCCTTAAAACCCTTGACAATAAATTCTCCTAACACTTTTAGTGACCTAACAACTCATGAAGCTCTGCAACACATAGACCAGACAAAACATGCAACTAACCCAGATTTATTTCTTATCCATACTCAACAATGTTCCAAGACAAAATAAATATTGATCATAGACGATTTGACCATAATATAATTACAGAAAGGGGGGTTTCCAATTACATACCAGAGACTTCTTGCGGCTCGACTTTGACCTCCTGAGGAACGATGACCGCTGGAATCTGAATTCCTTCCGTCCTCAACGTAGGACAGCTGGACCTGAAATGACCTGGCTGATGACAGTGAAAGCATATCTGATCCTTCTCGCAATCCCGTTGCACATGCCCTCTCTCCCCCACACTTATAGCACCTGAATTTGTGACAAGCAAATATGTGGGTTCCCCCACACTTTCCACACACCTCCTGACCCTCCTGACTTTCAGTACCCAGGTCAGTAGCCTCCAACCCTTCGTCCTCTGCTGAAAAGTCCCTCCTTTTCTTTCCTAGTTGTGACCCCACCACCGGTACTCCCCCAGTGGTTATCCCGGTAGCAACATCTCTCACTGATTGCAACGCTGCAACTTGCTTCTCGGACTTGGCGATCACCCTGGCGGTGACCCGATCCACGTCACCGAACAATTCTTCTCGCAAACTCTGAGAAACCTCTATGGAAATCATATCTCGTATCTGATCGACGGACAATACCGACCTATCTTGGCCACTCACTCCCGATCCTGATCTGTATCCCGCCTCAAATCGTTTCGCCATCACCATACTGAACATATACTAGGATGATATCAGATAATCTGCATAAACGACGGGAAACCTACTCCCCACCAAACCCTAGGGGTTGTGACTTCTCTGCTATGTGCATAGGTCCTTTGCTTTCAGTAGTATGGGCCCATACTACCTTCCACACCTACCTATATTTGTATCAAGTATCGTCACAACGCCCTAACTGTATACATAACATAACGAGCACTCAATCCTCACTCCTAGAGGAATGCTAAATATCTCATAATTGGCCTCCCGGCCTCTCACTACCCACCCATCCACCAACTGTCACGCGACCCTCCATTGGTGCCAGTTAACTATTGCATGAATACAATCAAATACCGCATGGCTTAAACAATCTTAGCCTAAAAGATTTATTCCCACAACGGTTGGACTCAGACAAGAGCTGCGCAGCAGGACCAAATCCCTTACCCTAAAATCATTTAACCCATGTAGCATGTGACTTAGAGTATTCACCCAATAGTTAATTCACATACGAAAGAGTCATACAACAATCAATGAGGTACTCTACATAAGATAAGGCATCAAAGATCAGGCAATTCTATCATACAATTCCTGAGGATCCCTATCTTAGAACTAGCATGTTTTTCTAACATATCACATAATCAAATAACCGCATGGTATTTTGGGGTCTACTTACTGGCTCCGGCTGATCGTACACCTTACATTCCCCTTCATTATTTTTGAAAACCATTTTAAAATTTATTTTGAAAATCCTTCCTTGATTTGAGACTGGATTCACACGAATGTTCCTCCAATAAACTCAAACCAAGGCTCTGATACCAACTTGTAACACCCATAAAATCATGCCAAATTTGAACTTTTAAAAACATTTCAAAACCATTAAATCATTACAAACTTGTTTTCAAAATGTGTAATATCATAGTATTCCCAGAACCATAAACAAAACAAGAGGAGCTGTACGATCACGCCTTTTCCTTGCCGCGATCCCCTAATGTACTTGAAACAATAAACTGAAACTGTAAGTCTGAAAGCTTAGTGAGTTCCCCCAAAATACCAATACACTACACATAACACATATATAAATAACAGCATGTACTGGGTCCACAGCTCTACAGACTGGATTACCCCCTGAGCCCACAGTGTGAGTCTGGCTTGCCTTCCGGCCCACAGTTCACATCTGGCTTGCCCCCTGCAGTCCTACAACTGGAACATATCTAACTTGCCCTCAGTATGAGTCTGGCATACCACTTGGTCCTCATCTCGTATCTAGTATGCTAATGAGTCCTTCGTATAAGTCTGGTATGCCTTCCCGGCCCTCATCTCATATCTGACATACTCCAGGGTTTGTTGGTCACTGCACGAGACAATGCAACCTCAACCCTACCCACCCCACATTTCCACATATACAACTAATAACACATACTGATAATCGAACAGTAACACAGGTAGTCCTACAGATCTACCTAACTGGCATTGCAACTAGCATGATAATCATCTCCTATTCAACACATAATCAACTACTAGGATATCAAATCTAATGGGCTGTCCTTGGTGCCTTAGACCCCATAGTATAGTGAGGATAACTCACCTCACAAATGTCGCACTGAAGTGATAAGATCAACTCTCGAATCACCGACACGAACTCCACCACCTATAGTTACCATAAAACCATTTCCATAAATTTCCAAATTACCAAAAATACCCCCAGAGGTCAAACTGGTCAACCCTTGGTCCAAGTCCAAGTCAACGGTCCATGTTGACCCAACTTCGTCGAGTGCAGCTAGCAACTCGCCGAGTTCCTTAAGAGTTTCGAAGGTCATAAAACCCTCACTGACTCGCCGAGTTTCCGACCAACTCGTTGAGTCTATGCGTGTCCAAAAGTCGGGAAAACCCTAGTTGACTTGCCGAGTCACCCTACTGACTCGCCGAGTCCACGACAATCTTTATCGAACTCGCCGACTTGACCATGCAACTCACCGAGTCCCTTCAGTCCATATCCATACAAATGCTTATTAAGCCATCTTAAGGTTCCGTGTTGCAGATCCAGCTTCCCAAGGCTTGTTTAACATGTTAAAGTTGCAAACTTTACGTGCATGCAAGGCTCTAAAGTCTTATAATGACAAAACCAAGCTTGTAATGGAGTTTTACACTTGAGGAGAGGTTCATACTTGCCAAAGCTGAAAACTTTATGGACTTAGAGACCAAGGAGAGTCCAAATCTGAAGTTACAACTTCAGATCTTAGCTTATACCCAAGAATGGCTTCTTATTATGCTAGAAAAGCCCTAATCTTTAACCAAATGAGATCTAGAATGATATAAGGTCAAGGTAACGACTTGATACCTTCCACTAGATGCCTACTGAGGTGGATGTCAGATCCCCACAAGTTCCTTGCTCCTAGTCACATGATCTCTAAGCTCTTCTCACCAAGAATCCTCTTCCAAAGCTTAAAACACACAATGGAGTACACACCCGTATTAGGGTTTTGCTAAGCTCTAAAGGTTCTGTAAAGAGACTGAAGGAGGCTTTTGATTCTTTAAATAGGGTGCAAAACCCCGAAAATTAGTGTTTTATCCCCCAGCTCCTACTCGTCGAGTCCATTCTTGGAGTCGACGAGTAGGTCACTTAAACACGTGGCCCAACCCGCTTCTACTCGACGAGTCAGGGCATCCAACTCATCGATTAGACCTTGCAATTTATGAAAATCAAAGCCACAAAATTATCACCTGAGATTCGGGGCGTTACAGTAGAGGGTACCAAAGTGTAACTTAGTCTAGTATATATATCCTTACATTATTATCATTGAAACATATATACAACTAAACTATCCTGTCGGCCCCTAGACACATATGATAATCACTCTCATGGCGAGTGTTATTTAATTTCTAAAATTAGCACTTAAAAGGAACATGGTACGCAATTTAGCTTTTTAACATTTTAGAACTGATACTGACCAATTCTTGGCAACATAAAGGAATTAAAGCAGATAAAAAGTCGGCTGACCAATTCCTTATAATCCAAAGTGATCGTCCATCTATTCATATTGTAGTGGGACCTAATGGTGTTTTTACATGTTAGACGGCAGTTCTAACAGATATATTATTTTTCATTGGATGAGGAAATACACAGTTAAGAAATGTGGAACAAACTCATTCTATTGAGTGTTGTAGCACTTACTTTTAACTACCTTGCCTTAGCCTACAAGCCAAGCCCCCTCCAAGATTTTTGTGTAGCCGACCCCAACAGCTCGGGTATTGTCTACTCACTGAGTCGTTGTTACACATCTGATGTGCTCTTTTAGTTACATTTACCTTTTACTTTAACAAACAAAATGTTGTTTAACGTGCAGTCAAAGTAAATGGTGTAACATGCAAGAACCCAATGCAAGTTCAAGCCGAGGATTTCTTCTTTAGTGGGCTACACCTCAAGGGTAACACATCAAACCAATTGGGATCAAAGGTGACCCCAGTCTTTGCAACTCAATTACCGGGGCTAAACACATTAGGCATCTCAATGGTTCGAACTAACTATGCACCATGGGGACTTAATCCTCCTCACACTCACCTAAGAGCCACAGAGATTCTTACAGTTCTTGAAGGGACTTTACAAGTTGGATTTGTCACTTCTAATCCTGATAATTCCATACACCAGGTGTCTCAAAGTCAACTACGATACAAAATATAAAAATCATCAGAGTAAGAATAATCATAAGTATGGAATCATCAAGGGATGTTGTGCTATTACGTCAGGCTCTTCTCCTTCGAACCGAAAGTAACTGAAACCATAAACATAAACTGTAAGAACAAAGCTTACTGAGTTCCATAAAGTATCACATACCATACATGTAGTTGGGCCCAACCCTAGGGTATATTCCAAGCCAACATACAATCATGGGCCCATCCCAGGGGTATGTTTCAACCCAATCATACATACATAGGCCCAGCCATGGGGTATCTTTCAACCCAAACATACAAACATGCAAGAGTCACAAATATAGCTAGCATCCTACATAACACAATCCAATGGGCCGACATTGGTACCTTCGACCCATAAGTACAGCGAGAAGACTCACATTTTAGTCAATGCTCAACTGTTACTGCTCTCACTGCCAGAATACCGAGGCTACGCTCCACCTATACAGTCATACCAGATAAACCCTTAACTCTTCTTCCAAAACTAGGTGTTTGACCAAAATTCAACTCAAGCCAAAATTCAATGGTTAAAGTCAACAGTCAATGTTGACTTTAGTCCACCGCCATGTCGTGGCGATCCATGGCCACGCCATGGCCCTCATATATCGAAACGGACGATATTTTCTTAGTCGTCAGACTGTGGCGACCTAATGCTACATCGCGGGCACTGGGTTTTCAATAACTTAATGGGTTAAGTTGTTTTCTTCTATTCAGATAGCTCCAAAGCTCAGATGTAGTCCGAAACATGGTCTAGAAGGATAAAGTTTCAGACTTTATCCATTAACACCACCCAAAAGGTCAAAATCTCAAACCCTAGATTCCAAAGAGGCTAAATAAGACATGGATTCACCCATTAAGCACTTATTCCAAAAAGTCCTTAGCTTATTTACTCCAAAAGGGTTTCTAATACCAAAACCATCATAAAAGTCAGTGTTTTATAGACATGCATGTCCAATGTATGTCTTGAAGCCATAATGAGTCAAAATAAAGGTTTTTGATAAAAATCAAATGCATGGCTTAAAACTCAACTATACTTCGTATCGAAATCCATAATCATACCAAATGATCCAGAGATTCATATAGTTGCAAACTTTATGAGATCTCGCCACCCCAACTAACTACAATATGAATATTAAGGGACAAAACTCAAGATCTAGCAATATATCATGATAAAAATCGAGTCTTGGACACTTACAAAGGTCCAGAAGAGTGATAGGGCGAGAATGAAGACTTGCTTGTTGAATCTTGGTCACTTCTTCTTCCTTCTTCCTTCAAAAGATTTCCAAGAACACAAAAAGGGCTTCAACAATGGATGAAGGAGATTATGGTTTCTTCATATCTTTAGGAGGATGATGGAGGTTGAGGGTGAGCAAAACCTAACCTCATCATTCCTTTAAATAGGGTGAAAATCCCGAAAAAGTATGGTTTAGACATCAGCGGTGGCTACGTCGTGGCAGGTCAAATCAACTCACGACTCAAAAATAACTCGTCATGTCATGGCGACTTCTAAAAGTTAAATTTGATAAATGAAAATGTACCTCAAGTTTTGAATGTTACAAATTACCATCATCATCTAAAGGATCAACTTCCACCACATGAACATGAACTTCATCCTCAGTTGCATCTGTTGTTTCCTGGTTCCAAACCAACTCTATATATATATATATATATATATATATATATATATATATATATATATATATATCATACTCCCAAATTCCATTAGAACAACTTTGGTGTCACCTATCAACCTTATTGATGTCTGGATACTCTTTTCTATGGTCTCATAGTAAAAATCATCTTGTAAACCAAACAGAAGATCAAGGTTGTCCAACTGACTTGGTTCCCCAATTACTTTAACTAGATGTTGTTTTATATATTTCCATCCATTTTGTTATCATCAATAATAGGAACCTAGTCTTAACTTCAATCCATTGTATTATCTTGAATAGTGAACCAGCCCTACACTTTGTTCATTTTCAATACATGATACTTTTGTATCATTACATGTGCTTGTAGTAGGGACAAATGGAAAAATAGTCTTGGAAGTGTCTATGGATCTATAAGCATCTAAGTCTAGTTTTCTACATGGACCGGTTTTTTAACAAAGTTTTTTTTCTAGTGCAATCTATGAAACTCGTCATCAATTTGCTATATCACAACTTTCAATGGTGATAAAATGTAGGCATGCAAAGTTGTCTTCTGGTGTTTGGTGTAGATACAAAATTCTTTGTTCTTAGCATCGTACCTTGACATTGATATAGCATCGTCCAAGTGGTAGGAGACCATAATCCAAGTGAGAATCTATTGTAGCAAAATAGTAGAATATGGGCTCATCAGTATATAAAGGAACATAACATAATTTCCCCAACTCATTAATTGAATACTCCCCTAAGTCCACAAAATCGTTGAAGTTAAGTCTATCGTCTACATGGGCGAGGCTACATTATGCCACGGTGGGTCACTTAACTCACCTAAAATTAAAAAGTTTACAACAAGTTAAATACAAAAAATATTTATGGCCTACCTAAAATATTTTGAAAGATCAACCTTAATGTGTTTGAAAAACAAGATATAAACAATATACAATAAATGATATTATATTTGTGGCATGAAGGAGTCCCACATTGACTCCAACAAGAAAATGGTGAGGGGATTTTTATATTATAAATAAATGTTCATATTTTCATTCTTCTAACTCCAAATATAAGTTGGTTTTAGTCAAAATTTTGAGGAATCACATATTTGAACGCGGACCTTTCACACCAATTTTTATATGTGATTAACCGGTTATTTTTCTGGTTAAATTCGGTTTTCACTTGAACTAGCGGTTAAATTTGGTTAATGAACTACGTGGTTTTCTATTCTAGACTCGTCATTGATCGTCTATGTATTTCGACATAGAGATCTTGTGAATAGCCCACCATGTCTAATTCGTAGAGCAAACAAGTGATCATAACCTTATATAAAAATCAAAGAAAAGAAGAAGATACGACAATGAGAGACTTGAACATTTAAAAAAACCAAATAAAATATGTATTTACTCACTTTCGGACTCACCATACATAGTTTTCATGTCGAGGACGAGATGTGTTCAACGAATGGTCCATGTTACACCCATCGTTGAAAATGTGTCCGTTATTGTTGTCTTTTTCACATACACCATCATTCAAGCTTTTTTTTTTTTAAAAAAAAATTGTAAGAAATCAAGGTGCATAAGACATATAAGATAGTAGGGTTTTAAACCTGGTACGTAACTGACATTTAGGGATGTGATTTGCTCACATGTCATAAATGTAACTAAAAGTTATAAGGGCGACAATTTATTGATATAAGAGAGATAAAATAATTATGAAGATTTTACCCATGTGTACACGGCATTTTTTTTTTGAACCGGCAAATATAATTTTTTATTAATAACCTTAACCTAACTAGCAAGAAGCTAGTTAGGTCGTGTTGTATATTGTTTTAGTTACATAGAAGAGGGTTTGTATTCCATACCCTCCAGTCTATTTTATCACTACTTCCTCGATATTTTATCCAACAAAAAGTTTGAGCTTTTACATAGAAATTATTCTCTCCAGTTCACTTTCAATTTTGTTAAAAATTCTTTCATTTCTGGCTCTCCAGTTGCATGAAACCTGGTTTAGCCTGCAACCAGTTGGTCCTAGTGTACAGGGCATGTGGTGAGGGTTAACGGACATAAATAGATGTCGTCTTTGAAAAGGCTACCCTCCTCAAGAAATTGAAAGTTGTGCAAGAAATAAAGAACTTGGACTAAAGTTGCAATTTTCACTAAACCATAAGAATGTAATTTTTTTCAAACTAATATAGTTGCATATCTAAAACCTCAAACGAAAAAACAACATTTGTCATCTAGGTCGAGAATTAATATCCATATATTCAAAAAATTAGTTTATAACCGTCAAAACCATGGTTATAAAATTAATTAAAATTTAATAATAAAAAATTCAAAATTATTAATCAATTATTTTAAATAAATTATTAATTAAGAGATATTGTTTTAGTTATACAAAATTATAATTGTAAAATTATATCATATTATGATTTGTATTACTTTTATTTTAATTTTTATTCTAATGTTATTAATTTAATGTAATTAGAATGGAAATTTCAAATTTCAAATTTGAAAAAGAGAATCAATAGGTTGACAAGTAGCATGACATGAATTAAGAGATCTAATAAAGTGGCACGTGACAAAAAAAAATTATTTTTTTATTAGAATATGGATATTATATAAAAGTTTGTCCTCAGGAATTTAAGAATCTTGGGTTGTTGGTAGGCCGTTTTTATTACCATTTTTTTTAATAGAAATTTATATTATTTTTTAATACACTAATCAAGAAATGATAAATCACAAGATCAAAAACTCAAGTGAAACTTCCAATACATAAGACAATAAGCATACAATAACATCGTCAAGATTCCCAACTTGATGCGAGTGTACACGCTATATCACTTGTCTTCTTTTTTTTTTTCCTTCGTGACATTCATAGACAGCAAATTTCTTCTTTCCTTGTTTGAAACCATACGAATGATATGGTTTGTTCCTTTTCATCAAAAAGGTTCACAAAAAACTCCAGCAGTAACATAACCTCTCAAGGTCATTTTCGTCCTTTCACCCACTCAAACAATATCGTTCATCACTCACTTGTTCAAATTTTTCAACATTAAACTCCTTAATCCCATCTTTATGTTCAACCCAACTATACCCCGGATTTTTTACTGCTTTCTTTTCAATCATCAACTCCCTAATCTTCCTTACATCATCCCATCTCCCCAAAGAAGAATACATATTTGCTAAAAGCACATAAGGAGCCGAATTACAAGGATCTAACCTAAAAAGCTCTTCAGCTGCTCTTCTTGCTAACTTCACATTACCATGAACTCTACAACAACTTAGAAGAACTTCCCACACAATCGGATCATTCACACACGGCATATTACCTAAAATACCCTCGATTTCATCAAACCTAGCATCACGTCCCAAAGCATCAATCACACAAGTGTAGTGATCCGAAACAGGTTCAATTCCATGTTCTTGAAACATTGAGTTAAATATTTTAATCGCGTAATCAATCAACCTTGAATGACTACAAGCAGTTAAAACAGCAATAAAAGTTATCGAATCAGGTTTTAATTTATTCTCATTGATCATTTCTTCATAAAGTAAAACCCCTTTTTCTCCTTGTCCATTTTGTGCATACCCATGAATCATTTCATTCCATGTAATCGTGTTTTTTGTAATCATTGTGTCAAAAACTAATCTTGCATCATTTACATCTCCACATTTTGAATACATATCAATTAAAGCACTTCCAACAACAACATCGATTTCCATTTCTTGTTTCAACACATGAGCATGAATTTGTCTTCCTTGAGATAAAGATAATAGCTTTGTGCAAGAACTTAGTATAGTAGCATAAGAGAATTGAGAAGGAATCATTTCGGTTTCTAGAAGTTTCTTGAATAAAACAAAGGATTCATTTTCAAGATTATTGATTGACAATCCTAACATCATAGAATTCCAACAAACAATATCTTCAACTTGAGTATTCATTCTATCAAATATAATTTTTGCAAGATTGATCTTATTGCATTTAGAATACAACCCGATAAGTCCACTAGCAACATAAATATCATCATCAACATGAATCTTTAATGATGATGCATGAACTTGTGTTCCACTTTTCAAAAGTCCCAAAGAAGCACAAGAGCTAAAAACAACAGAAAAAGTGGTTCGATCACCTTTCACATTACAAAACTGCATATTTCTAAAAAGTTTAACAGTTTCTTTATGTTTTCCAATCTGGGAATACCCTGAAAGCAAAGTATTCCAAGAACTTAAAGTTGGAAATTTCATCTTATTGAATATCTCATGAGCAGTTTCAATATCTTCAGATTTGATACATGACGTGAGCATATTTATGTAGGTTACTTCATCTGGTTTTAAACCGAATCTTTCCATTCTTTTCAAACAATCTATTGACTTTTTTATTTCATGTTGTTGACCATATCCACCAATCATAACATTCCAAGAAACAACACTAACTTGAGACAGATTGTTAAACACAATTTCAGCACTATTCATATCTCCATTTTTTGCATACATGTCTAACAATGAATTACTCAAGTGTAAATCTTTTTCTAACCCAAGTTTAATTGTGAGATCATGAAACTGTTGCCCTAACTCATTATTCCCACTTCTAGCACATACACCAAGGATGCTAGACATTGATATTGCATCAATCTGTATCCCAATTCTATGCATTGATTGAAACATGTGAAAAGCATCATTTATATGATCAGTTTCCCCTAATGCCCCTACCATGGATGTAAAAGAAACCTCATTGACTTCAGGTAAGTCTTCAAAAGCCTTGATTGCATTATGTATATGGCCACATTTTGCATACATACCTAACAAAGCATTACCAACGTATATGTTCTTATCAAGCCCAATTTTGGTAGAAAACGCATGACATTCACAACCACAGATGAAATCTTTGAGTGCTCCACACGCACTTAAGACACTAGCTAATGTGAAATTTGTAGGCAAGAGACCTGTTTTGTTCATGGCGTGATACAAGTTCAATGCTTTCTGATCCGACCCATTGTGAACTAAGGCACTGATCAAAGTGTTCCACGACACAGAGTTTCTCTCGGGCATTTTCACAAACAGTTTGTGTGCTTCGTCGATATCACCGGTCTTGCAAAAGGCGCTTAGCATTGCGTGCCATGAAAAAAGGTTCTTGTGTGGCATTTTATCAAACACCCGGCGTGCGGTTATTAAGCGACCACATTTGTGATAAAGCTCGATTAAGCGGTTTGATAGAAAGGTGTCGGCGAAGAGACCAGTCCGGAGGATATGAGCGTGGAGGAGCTTTCCTTTTGTATGAGATTTTTTGTCGATGCAAAGTTGCAAGAAATTTGCTAACTGGGTTGTGGTTCTGATTTCCATCGGGGGTGGTAGCCGGAAGGCGTCGCAAAGTCTTGAATCGTTTATGTGTAACAAGCCACAGGAATCATCAGCTTAGCACTTAGCTATTGTTTCCTTGTTTCGGGCTCTTCCCGCAAGAACACGGTGGTTCTACAGTTCAAATCCTCGAAATAATATCATTTGAGCATCCACAATAGTTTTATCATTATTTATATGATAAATCAATAGAAATTATTTTTTAAAATCTTTATTCGATGCATAAGATTTTTTTTATTAATTTTTTTTTAATAAGTAAGAATTTTTTTTTTTGGGATGATTTAGACAAGCATACATGTCTAGAACCCTCAAGTTTTGATTAAGGTATTGTTTGTTTTTTGTTTATAGATTTTTTTTGGTCTTATAATACTTCAAAAAAAAAGTTCGATTGACACAAAAATGATATTTTTGACAAATTTATAAATAAAGATTTATTATAATAATAGTCGTTAAAGTTGTTTATATAAATATGAAAAAAAAAACATAATATATTCTTATATTTTTTATGCCAAATTTTATAAAACATTATTTAATTATGTATCGTCAATATCTTAGGAAAATATTTATGGTACGTTTTTAATTGATTTGATTGAAAAAATCGAAGTTTATTTTCATTCATTTATGTATCAAATTCTTTGATTCCTAATTACAATGTTTAGTTATAACTTTGTGATTAAATTTGTTGGTTTTTATCAAATATATACGTTAATTCATACCATTTTATTTATATTTTTTATATAATAATACATAAAAATTGATCTACATTTGTTAATTATTTATAAGAAAGTCATAAAAATATTAAAAAATCACTTTGAAGTTTAAAAAAAATTGTTTATTTAGATTTTAATTTATTTTAGTAGTCTGCAGATGTTAAAAAACAAACAGTCTTTTTTTTCAGACTGCAGACGTTTTGTCTACATCTTCTACTGCAGAGGTCTACAGATGTGGTCTGCAGACTACAAACATTTTGCCTCAAAAAAAAACAAACAACACCTAAGAAACTTCTGAGCCAAAAACCTTTTGTTGAATAACTAGAAATTTATTTTCATGAAATGTTATATAAACCTTCTTTTATATAGTTTTCTTTTTTAAGTACACCTTATATTTCATGTTGGTATTATTTTATTATGTAGTTAAAAAATAAAAATATTAAAAATGTTATAATTTCAATTTGCTAAATTCTATTAGGGATAGTTTGATAGAGGTTCTGACTTGGTTCACATTTAGCATGTTTTATTTGCCTCAAGACCTACTGACTTGGTCCTAATTTCTGCCCGAGTCGCTCATTTTTCTTCTGATTTGGTCCGAGAAAAAAAGTTTCGGACTAAGTTTTACTCTTTAGACATAGACTCGGCCCTCAGTCCATGTGTTTGGCATATGTTTTTGTTTATGACTCGTTCCAAGCCTCTAACACAGTCAACTTCTAACACAGTCCGTTCTAACTCAGTCAACCTCTATAAGACCTTTTAATTGGTCCAACCATTAAAAAGTTGATAGATTTCACGTGGTTTTCAGATCTTGCACCAATGGTCCTTCCGTTTCGTTCCATTAAAAAAATCATTAATAGGTATTATCATATCAAGGCCCCACCACCCTCCCTTTCCTCCCATTCATTCATCTTCTTCTACACATCTTCTAGACCACCATTGAAAACAAAAACCAAGCTTTATATTTTAAATACACACCCAAACACACAGAAGAGATGATGAACACATAAACAATGATATTAAAATATTCCAAAATCCCAAACTTAGCCTAGTAGCGGTTTCCATAAATCTTAATTCGAATTCAATGAGTTCAAGTTCAATTACAATTGGGTATTAGAAAGGGTGGAAGCAAGGAATTTGAAACAAATCATACTTAAAGAATAAAATTCTATACAAGAAGCATGTTCAAATTCACACCCGAAAATAAAATTGTGTTTTATTGAACTTTAAACCTCGAACACCATAAAAGTCAAATATTAACACATGCTTTTTTTGTCAACTTTATAGATTATAACTTGGGTAAGAACCAGAAACAAACATTATTACACATTTATAACGTCGTATGATAAAGTTGACATAATGCTTCTTTCAAAGGTAAAGTACAAAAATTCACTCTTCATGTAGAACTCTATCAGAAAAGAGAATGTACATATTTGTGTATATATATGTATATGTGTGTGTATTTAACGTGTTACGACAAATAAATTGAGTAAATCACTCATACCCTACTCCTTTTGCCTTCTTTTTTCTTTTCTTTTTTCTTCTTTTTTTTTTTTTTTTTTTTTGTGGAGGTGGGGGGATGTTTCATTTCCTAAAGCTTAGGGGAACTGTGGATTCTGTAAAATACTCCTTTCTCACATCCTCCACTGAGCAAAATCTCACCTACAGAACAGAACAAGACAGCTTTATACTGTGTGTCTCAGACTGATGTCAATAAGTCAATAACGGGTGGGACGGGGAGTCATTCTCAATGTGAATATTTTGTGTGTGTGAAAAGACGTAAATGCCCTTGGCAACCCATCTTTGAAAATAGACAAAAGAAAGCATACCAAAGAAGCATAATGTTTGACTAAGGGCTTGGCGAGTTGCCAAATTGGCTGAAAAATGAAGGGAGCATCAACGAATAGAACTTGCCCTAGCCTCCGAGGGTAATAGTAATACAACACATCAAACTGCCAATTTTAGAAGAATAATATTTTAAGTTGTTTTTTTTAAGTCAAAAAATGTATTTAATAAATAGTTTTTAATTACTTACCAAGAATGTCAAGAATTTAAGATCAGCATTTTGTGTACCAAAGCCACGAAGATCAAATATTCCAAGAATTTCTTCTTTTCCTTGTGGAAGTCTACTTAATGCTTTCTCTAACAGAAACACACATAATCTCTCATCCTCTAATCGATCAAACATCTGTAGCATATCATATAATATCAAACATTTGTAGCATATCATATAATTTGGGCTATGAATTTTACCTCTGGGATATGTTTTGATGGAACTACTACTAAAACTGGTCTACCATTGATATCAAGTGAATCATGAACATAAGATTTTCCGGTTGCAGCTACTCTTCTTACTGATTCTTCTGTCAGATCTGACACACGAAATTCGTGTCTCCATTTCTTGAAATTACCATAAGAAAGTATGAAGATTATTTCTCATATAACAGAAAAGATGAAGATAAAGCAAGAGTTATGAAAAAGAAAGATTAATTTTTCAAAAAGGTACTCACAATTGCTTTAGTGAGTTTAGAAATAGCTTCTTCTACTGAAAATTTTCGGTCCTTTAAGAACCATAGAATCAACTCCTCATCGTCTCTTCCGTTTTTTCCTGTAGGGAGACTGGAATGATCTTTCTCAAGCTTCTCTTTCACCTTCGTTACTAGCTGCAGACGTAAAATGGGGGAAAGGTATGAGCTTTGTTATAACTGAAACATAAGAGAGTTGCTTATATCTGTTACATTTTAGAATAACTAAAAGAGTAAACGGCTAATGACTTATCTATACAATGAAGTTACACATTTATGCCAGTTTATGCAAAGAAGAGAAGCTTTTACCGAGTTATGCAGATAAAACAAATGGCTCAATTTGTTACCAATTCTTATCAATTGATGCAACACGCAGGTTTCTTCAATTTGTGAATGTATAAATTGTAAAGTTTTGGTACCAAATCGAAACATGCCTAAATCAATATAAAACCCACCCCTTCAAGTCAGTAACCCTAACAAAATTTTCCGACTCTTGTTGATTCTAATTGATAGTTTAATATCGGATAAATCGCTTAATCAAATTTAAACAAACCGACAGTATAGTAACTCAAAACAACAGAAATAAGTTAAAACATTCTTCAGAAATGTAACGGAATAGAGAAGTACGAAATGTATAAATTTGCCTTGCGCGAGGTGTCGGAAGAGACATTCCGGACGGAGAACTTAGGAAGGCGAGGGGAGGAAGATGATTTAGTGAGGAATTGAGTCTTCATCGTCAACGATTGAGTGGCGGAGTGGTGGCGGAAGGGTGCAGGTGGCAACCGGAGGGCCATTTCTGAGAGGTTAGCTTAACGCCGACTAAATTCGAAAAAGGCGTTACAGGTGTTCTGATTGGCTGATGATAAGCGTTGCGTGGTTATGTGGTTATATAGGCGGGTGCACCGATCCATGTGGCAACAAGAATTGTCACCTTTTGACCATGGGCCACGTCACGTCACCTATGAACATTCATGTCCCAACCAGATATATTCCGAACTAGTTTCAACCAGATATATTCCGAAGTAGTTTATAACACGTGGGAGGTCACGATTATAAAATTAAGACAAAACTGCAAATTTAGTCCTTGTGGTTTTCAAAAACCTTTGGATGGGGTCTAAAATATTTCCAACATGCATCGAAGATCCAAAATCAAAGTTTTTCTGGGTTTTTTGGTCCTTGATACACTTGAAAAGACGATTTTACCCTTTTCATTTTATTTTTCTATTTTTTTTATTTATTTTGGTATTTAAATAATTAAAAAAAACTAAAATCTCTCTCTCTCTCTCTCTCTCTCTCTCTCTCTCTCTCTCTCTCTCTCTCTCGTTTGCATCTTACCATACAAATACTACCCCTCCTCCTTCTTCATTCACGGCCAAGAAAATCCACCGGAGGTGGAGCCGTTTTTCCGACCACCAAGACAGCAACAACCCAAACACGCCCTCCTTTGTATCTCTTGCCCTACTCCGACCCCCTGTCACCTTCCCATATACGCCTCTCGTCATTCTCGTCAAGTAGAAACCCGGACACAACAGCAGGAGGCTGTCGGAGCAACCTCTGCTCCCACGACCGCCACTGCTTGTGGTCGTCATTACCCTCGTACCACTACAGTTTTTGACCACCACCAAACTCTCCCCTACTCCCTCGTCTTCCCTGTCGTGTGCTGCCAGACGCAAAGGGAACGAGGCAGTGGAGCTGCTATCGCTAGCCACCCGTCACCGACCACCACCTCGTTGCTGCCACTGCTGTGAACCAT